AAACAGCGTTTAATGCTTGTACAATATCACTTTGACATTGCAATAACCAGTAAATTCTCTGTGATTTTATTTTCTAGTCTAACCACACTGCAGATCTTGACACTGGCTCTGCTCTAGTCCTGACTATTGAAAGCACGTTAATCACAGCCTGCTCTTCAGAGTCTTTGGTTAGCAAAGGTCATTTTAAAAACTTCTGTATCCGCTTTGCTGATGGCTTTGAGACAAGTTGGGATGACTGGAAACCAGAAATAAGAGGAGATCTAGTCATGAATGCATGTAAGTGGGTGTGATTTCATACTCGTTAATAGTATTTTAGATATAAATCCACTTTTATCCTTTCCCCTGACTTTTAAAACTGGTAAAAGCAGTTAAAAAAAAAGGTAAAGCAAAGGCCTTGGCCTTTTGAAAGCAAAATAATATGGACCTAGAAGGTTGTATTCCTTTGTTGTTTTCCTTCATTAGTAGGCTTATTGTTATGTGAAGCATTTAAGTTCTGTCTGAGAGATGTTGGAAGAATTGGATGTGTTGCTTTTATATTATTTCATAAGATCCTAGTAAGTTCTTAATAGTTTAATAGAGATCATGTTCATTTACATATATTTATATATATTTATCTGTATCTTTCATTATGGTGAAGATTCTAGAATTCATATGGAGTTTTAAGTTTATATAAACTTGGATGTTATGAAGTAAATTCGCTTTACTAAATAAGAAAAGTCCTTCAATGGGAATTAAAACTAAACTTCCTATCCAGCACCACTCATGCTTTAATTGTGGAGGACAAGAGACTGAGGTGGAATGTGGAAGGGCTGGTCTAAAGCAACTTTGACTGTCAGCCTAATGTGCTTCATATGCTTCATATAGGTGTTGTGCCAGATGGTACATATGAAGTATGTTCTAGGACAACTGGACAGGCTGCAGCAGGTAATACATTTTTTTTTAAAAAAAAGGTCAATTTCTGTATAAATAAAGCATTCATAAAATATGAAAATTAAATTGTTTGTTAACTGTGTTGTAATTTAATTGGTGGTTTGGTAGTTTTGTTTTGTATCTTGTTCTCCTGGTAAAACTCCTCAATGTTTTTATCTGCTCCATCTTTTCAAGCTATTCCAGGTTTTGAGTCACATCAGCAACTCTGGTTTTAGATTTTTACCTGCAGGAAAAGACATGATATAAGATGTGTTTGTTCCTTGGTTGGAGAATAGTCCTTTGTGATAACAATGTTGTCCTACTGCTTCCTATCCTAGAGACTGCTAAAATCTTCCAGTCCTCCTAATTCTGAGACTTTGCAACCTGAGCTCCTGTTACTCCCTCTCCTCTTCCAGAGACGGCTTCTAGTCTTCCCAAACTCCCTCTCTTCGCTATCTTTCCAACTGACCTGTTTGGACTTTCTCCATTGGCCTCAAAAATACTTGGCACTCTCTGTTGTGATCATCATACTTCTGTTTGCTTCTTCTCATCTCTTTGCTCAAACGTTGCATCTTCATTGTCTCCTGTGCTCATGGTTTTGCTCATTGGCCCCTGCTTGCTTTTTTGTGCTGAGGAGACATAAAAAGGAAACATGTGTTGTAACTATTAAAAATTTACCTCAGATTGAACTGAATGGAGAGAAACAGGACAGATCCATTTAGAAGGAAAACCAGTATCTTGTATATCTTAAGTTCTGCTTAAAGCATGTTCTGTATTTTGATGCAGTCGTTAGAAAAATCCTGCGGACACTCTGTATTCAGCAGGCACACACATGCATTGTAACATCTTCCAGCATTGAAACTGTACATAGGGCAACATTTTTACATGCAGATGGACATCCTTTAGTTTTTCTTTCTGTTAGAAATTCTGTTCTGGAATAGTGTACTTGGCTGCAATTATAAAAGCTGAAGTTTGAGATGCTCTCTCTCCTGGTCATCAGCTTTGCTGAAGGGAATGTGTTTTCTTTAGGTTTATCTATACATCCCTTGTTAAAGAAATCTTAACTTTGTAGCTGTGAAGTACTTCCAGCAAGCGTTTCAGTTGTGGAATATGTTTTCCTCAAAGTTACTCCCAGTGGGCAGAAAAGACAGTTCTTTGTAACTGGTAAACACTGTCTTGGCCGACTAACATGCAACTAAATATGGGGAGATTTTTTTTAAAGAGGAGAAACTGGTTAAACTTTTTTTTTTTTCACTTCAATACAGAAAGTAGTAGTGCTGGAACCTGGACACTGAATGTGTTATGGAAGATGTGTGGTATTGATGTCCACATGGATCCAAACATTGGGAAAAGACTGAATGCTTTAGGCAACACCCTCACAACATTGACAGGTGAAGAAGATATTGATGACATTGCTGACCTCAACTCTGTAAACATAGCTGACCTATCAGATGAGGATGAAGTTGACACGATGTCTCCCACTATACATGCAGTAAGTGAATCAACCAAAATAAATGCTACTAGTTGGAAAAGGCACGACAAAGTTTTCAGTCAAATGAAAGATCCTAGCCTTAGCTGAGTCCAGCATGCTACTTATAGCTCATATACATCATGTTTCACATCCAAAAAAGTTTGTGTTAGTTTTCTAACTCCATATTTCAAAGGCAAGAAATCACAGATGATATTTCTGCTGTTGTTATTTGGAAATACTGATCTGGATTTGAAAATGTACACACATTACCTACAGACACAGTACCTAACTTCAGGTACCTGAATTGGAAAAACTGTGGTTGTAGATAGGTTGGTGGTTGTTGTTTGTTTTGGTTTTGGTTTTTTTTTTTACAGGAGAGTGGTTTACTAACAAGAACAAGTTAGAAAAAAATCTTTTTCAGTACTTCTACTCAATATGCTGCTGACCTTGCTTTTTAGTTTCACATAAGAACTTTTTAACAGCTGTTCTTTAATGGCTATCTCAAATGTCTCTTGTCTGCCAGCAGTGAAAACGTTATCCCAGAACGTTCCTGTCGATATTCTACACTAATGTTCCTGTTTGTTGTTTAGAAATCAGGTGGAGTTTCATTATGTGGAGATGCACGCAAGCTAACATTTGGGCAGCGGATTGTAAATCACCTGCTGGGTTTGAGCCCCACAAACCATCGATACTCTGTTCCTGTAGAATATCTATTGGGGTCAGCGAAGTGTGATTCTCTTCAGTCTAGCAGATCACACATGAAAGCAGGCAGATCCTGCTCATGGGGACATGTATGTAATAGTTACAGTGTGTCTAACTGAATGATGGGGTTTGGATCACTGGAAAAAAATCCAATCAGCTGCCTTTTGAAATGAAACTGATTCTTTTGCATGCACTAGTCCAGATTTTAAGGTGTGAAATTTACTTTGTCTATTGTTACATCATACTAATGTCCATTTTTTGATAAGAGCATTAATTCAATGTTTATTTTAAATAGGAGATTGTTGATCACCGACGGCAGGGAGCATGTAATATGCAAACTGGAGAACAGCGAGGAAGAAAGTTTGTGAAACGTTTAGTTGATATAAGAGAACTCAATGAGCAAGCTAAAGTTATTGATGACTTAAAGTAAGTTGGGTTTTGTTTTAACTCGTACAAAGCTTGGGAATAATAAACAGCAGCTGACTTGTTATCTTTTCTGTTTTATCACATATGTTGCGGTGTTTTGATGGTCTAGTGGGAATTGTTTTTTTTATTTAAAAATGTCCTTTCAGATTCCCTAAGAAAAAATTATACATACAAGTACTCTCTCAGATTTCTCAAGTTCTTCCCCAAGTGTCAATTTAGTCTATATTCTTTCTGGTTCTGCATTACAGTGGCTGACTAGAATCAATTTCCTGTTGATCCGGAATTGTATTTCCATCTTTATATATTACCAAGATGATTACTTTAACAAAATGTATTGCTTTGTAACTGTAATAAGCTTAGTCTTATTCACTGAAAGAAGAAGAAACTAAAATATTTTTTCATCTTGTAGGTGATTTTTTTAAAAATCAAATCTCATATGCTGTGCTGGAGAAAACTCTGAAGAATTAATTATTTCAAAATTCATAAACTTCACCTGTACTTCTTCTCTGATTTTTATTAATAATTGTTTGCGCTCTGTTTTTTTGGGCTTACTTTTTTCTTTTTCCTTCTGCTTCCTAAGACAGACTTACTATAAATGGATCTGTCTGGGATGGGAATACAGAGCTTGGTAATTATGTTAAACAGTGAAGATGAGATACGTTTAACTTCTTGGAGTAAAATTGCTGTCAGCATTCAGAGGGCAATTTTATCTGAACTTTGAATTTTAGGTTAAATGTTTCTTCTAATATGAGTTTAAGAACCAAAATTATTTTTTGTACCTGCCTTTTCTCAGTTTATGAATCCTTCAGTAAACTGTGATTCTTTCAGAATAGCAGTTACTTGACAGAGTTTTCTAAATTATTTGGTGGTGTGCTTTTTTCTGCAGAAGGGAATCTGCTACAGAAGGTTGTCGTTGCTGTGACAGCCTTTGGACTGTTACAACAGAAGGATTTTTCTTCATTCTGCTGAGGATTCTCAGATTTGCCCATTAGGTTTATTTGTAATTAAATAGCTGTCATATGACTGAAAGTGTATAAGCGGTCCTTAATCCAGCTGTTACATCTTGGGCCTTTTGAAACAAGAGAGTTGCTGCATAGCCATTCTTAATTCTCCACCTTAGCATCATGTTAGCACTGTTTTTTGGGGATCTCCTTGCATGGTAGTTTGCTCTTCATCTTCTTATCTGCTTTGCTAAGTCATTTGGAGACAGAAACCTTCAAATCAAAAATATTAGACCTGACAAAAAAATAGTACTGTGAAACAATAAAAAATCTTCTGCAGCTATACTGGGCACTGCCATAAGTAACTACTGAAAAAAAAAATGAGAAAATGGGGTAATTCCGGGGGAAAGCAGAACATCATTGCAACACAGATTTTGAAATGGTGAAAATATTGTCATCTATTTGTAAGGTAACTCAGCTGTGATTTATCCATAGAAAATTAGGTGCAAGTGAGGGAACTATAAATCAAGAAATTCAGCGCTATCAGCAACTGGAGTCAGTGGCTGTGAATGATATCCGCCGAGATGTTCGTAAAAAGCTGCGTAGATCCAGTATGAGGGTGAGCAGTATTATGTTACTTTAAAAATATGATAGCACTTGCGTTGCATAGTTCTTTTCTGCATGTTGATTAGAGCAAAGAAAATGTTAGTAATGGAAAAGATATCAAATAGTTCAGCAACCTCTTTACCTGTAGGAGGGGGTGGAGAAAGGTTTTTCTCCCTTGTAATAACGGTGATAGGAAAACTGAAATTTCACAGATAATATAATGTAAATGGATTTATTTGCACGCTCACAAGAAACAGTCAAAAAACGTGTATTTGAAAATGTCGTTTACTCCTTGCTCTTAGCAGACTTTGAAATTATTCCTTTTTGGTCTGATGAATGCAGATGCAAAGGCAAGCTTGTTATGATAATAAATAACAAATACCTATTGTATTCCACTTGGCATGTGTGCTTTCTATAAGTGTGTTCTGTATATAAATAAGCAGTATATTTGCAGAGTTAGGTGGTGTAAAAACAAGCTACTAAGGATAAACGCTAGAAGAAACCGAACAAAAACCAAGCACTGTTGCTCACAATCGACAAAGATATGTGACTGTTGTCCCAGACCCTGATAACAAACCTGGCAAAACATTATTTTCAGTGTGTCCTAGTGCATGAGCTCCATTAATAAGAAAAGATCTCTCAAACAGTAATCTGTTTGCAGCTTCTTCTCAGGTCTTCTCATTTTAGCTCATGTTCTACTGTTACTGTAGTGGTAGCTAGGAAGGATGTCTAAGTGGTTAGATTATTAGCTTTGGGCATACTTTTCCCCTGGCAACAGGACTTTACTCATTCTAGCAAGTGTGAAAAGTGTACATGTATCTAGAAGCAAGATGAAGATGCTGGCAAATGCTGATAAGAGAGGCATTTTAACTACTACGGAACAAAAAAATCTTTTTACTTTACTGGCACACCTGTGTAAAATAATATCTTAGCTTCCCGGAGTTTTTCTCTGTGTTCTAAATGTTGCATTTAAATATTATTTTTGTTTTAGGCTGCCTCTTTGAAAGACAAATGGGGTCTCAGTTACAAACCCAGCTATAGCCGATCTAAAAGTATTTCAGCATCAGGAAGACCACCTCTGAAGAGAATGGACAGAGCAAGGTAAGCTTCTGGGAACTGGAGATCTGCGGTAGCAACAACAGTGCATGTAACAGAGGAAATGTTGGACTTTGTCTGTAGGAGTTCTTTTACTGTAGGCAGCAGCTCTATGTGGTGGAACTGGATAGGAGGAGGTCATTTTGGAAGACAGGCATGTTCTAACAAGTAACTTTCGCCTTTTATTGAAACTTCTTACAGACTTAGTAGTATGTCAAATGAGGAGAAGTTTCCACTTCTACAACAACTTAGGTCTTTCTATAGAATCCTGCTTTCATAGTGAAGAAACATATATAAGGAAAAATGGCATAGTGAATCATTTCAATTTCTACACTTGAGTTGCAATTATCTGCCTTAACAAAGGGCTGTTGTAAAGAGAGAAGGAAAGGAGATTTTTTTTTTTTTGTGAATGATAATTTTCTTTTATTATCTTCAACTGTATAACGTGTATAATCATTTAATGGCTGCTGAGGAAACTGTAGTTGTATGATGATACGTCCTAGTAAAGTGTTTGCTTTGGTTTTAGAATACATGTGTTTGAGTCTATTGCTCTTGTAGATCCAGTTGAAGTGTTCAAAGTTTGGAATTGAAAATGTGCTGCACATATTAAATAATATAAAATTTAAAGTAAAAAAGGTGGAGAGCAGTTTAGAATTCTTTGGACTTTCTTATATGAGAATAGACATTCTTAATAGAAATTTGCTTCGAACTTGAGTATTTCCGGAGAAACGAATGGAAATTTGTAAATAATCCAAATGTGAAAATGTAAAACAGCAGATATTCCAGCATAAAACCAGCTTTGTAACTACTCTAAAGTGAAAATTTCAAGGTGCCCTTGAAAAAGAGTCTCTCTTCTGAATTAATTAGCATTCTTGATAATTAAAGCAGAGCAAGTTGAAAGCATGACAGTTCTAGTTCAAGATCTCAAGTTCAAGTGGTCCAAAACCACTTTCATTTTACCTTTTCACAAAGTTATCTAAAGAGAACCAGAAATTGTATGGAAAATATAATTGGGCTTTTCTGTTGTTCTACAAGAAACACAAATGTTTTTTGAAAAACTTTGGTTCTGAATGAAAAGTAGTATGCCTATACTGTAAGGCCAAATAATTCATTTCAGTTGCATCAGAGAATAAATAGTCTGCCAACTTTATGTCTCATGTGTAAGATTACAAATACCTTATTTTTCTGTAATTTCTGCATGTTGGCTCAGGATTGAAAAAAGTTAAGAGATTGGCTGGCAATAGACTACTGGTAAAGTAATATGTAGCTTCCTTCTCCTCTTTATTTTCATGTACCCTAAGTGCTTCAATTATGATTTTATATTTTATTCTATAACAAAATGGTAAGTACTGACTGTATTTCTTTATTGCCTTATATCTGTGTAGTTAAATGTGTGTGTGAATATAAAATCCTGTAGTAAAACTCAAGAAGCTGTTGTGTTTTGGTTTTGATTGTAGCTCTCGACTAGGAGACAGTGAAGATCTCCCAGATATCCGTGTAGATGCTGCATCTCCTGGGCCAAGAGTCACTTTCAACATACAGGATTCTGTAAGAATTACTTTATATGCCGTATAATTTCATTTCCTGTGCCATTTGGTTACAGGTTCATGAGATAGGTATACCTAGGCAGACCTGAATTGCCTGTATGTTTTAGTGTGTCTTTGTCTCTGTGTGTGCGCCTCAAATTATGAATGTGTTTTTGGAAGACAGATTTGTTTTGATAAGAGACAGATGTGTTTCAGTTTCTTAACATAGAAGTTACATGAAACATTAGGGAAAGTATTTCAAAATGTTACCTTTTTTTTTTAGGCTGACCACATAGTAGTAGTACAATTGTTTGGGAATTTTTATCCGAAGTGTGCAAAAAATTATCTAGTGCTTTTTGTGTTCAAATATATTTACAGTTTTGGAAATAGGTCTTAGTTTGCTGTAGCCCTACAGGTATACCCTTCTGTATGTTCAAAATGGATTGTTGAATCTTTGGTTTTGTTTGTTGCTATGTTTTCTTAATTTTAAAATGTTCCTATTATGTTGTTTTTGCATGGCTGAGATTATTGCAATTGTTTTAATTTCTTTTTTTTTCCACTTCTAATTAAGTTGAATAAAACAGCTTTGGGGATTGCACAACAATCCAGCTGTCCAGGGGAAGGGTATTTTCAGGTATTTCTGAGAAGAAACAAGTATTCTTTGCCAGAGAACTAATTTATCTTGCAGGGAGCTGCTTTACGATGTTTCATCTCTTTTGCACTCAGCTAAACAGAATGTATATGAAATTTGAAAAAAAATTAATTTAAATTTGTAAATTAAGCAGAACAGGATTGGTTGTTGATGAACTTTCCTGAGTGTTTTTACACCTTTGTGTAGACCTCAAACTTCAAAGTTTTTGTAAAATTAATTACTGGAATTTTGTTTGTATATTTATGAAGGCTGTGATCAAGGCTGATGTGAAGTGGTGTAAGTCTAGCCTTGAGAATGTACTTTAGAAGAGGATTTTATTGTGTGCTGGTACTTTCATCTGTTACATTGTGTTCCAAGATTGCCAGCATCAGCACCAGTACAAAATAATTGCTAGGTGGGAGGACATCTTCTCACACTTGATTTTTGTTGGAATTCCTATATTTAATGCAGAATAAGAGATTTTTCAAGTAACTGTGAGTAGGGAATGTGCTAAAACTTAATATCCAGAGAATGAATGGTGGACTTTTAAAACTGCTTTAAAAAGACATGTTTAGGGAAAATAGTAAAGGTTATTTTAAAAACAAAACGGCAAAACAAAACCAGACAAACAAAACCCAAACTCAAGAGATAATAAGGTACATTTTTTCCCTTCCAACTCACCTCACGCTCCCAGGAAATAAATTCTTATTTCTGAGAGAGGTGGAAATGAAATGTAGACATGTACTTTGCACATTTAAATATGTTCACATTTAAAAGCTGTCCTACTTTTGTTGTTGTTACATATAAGCCCAGTTAGTTTAAGTTTTGTTGACATAGCAAAGTGTTATCAAACACTTAGAGGACTCAAATGTTGAGGTTTTTTGATTTTTTTTAAACCTTAACTGTGTAGGTAGTGCTGATGTTGAACTAGCACTTCTAGCTGATGTCAAACTGCCACTTAATGCATTTAATAGGCATTTTTCACATGCATATTAAAGAAGTTAATGTTCAAAAATTGCTTGTGGTGCTTGTGGCGTACTTTATGTGAGAAACAGGAGGCCTCTTTAGGAAATTTGGCCTGAAGTTTGATTCATGTTAAAGCACGTTGGCCCAAGAGCATAGCCCAGAATTGCAAAGTGGTGCTGTACATTCTGTGTTGGCATTCTGCATGCACGCCTCACTAACGTGCCTGGGTGCCTCACCCCTCTACAAGGTTCATGATGATTTTTACTGTCTTTTGCTTTTTTCTTTCAAATTATTTTTTAAATTTAAATGAAATGTTTCCATTCCTTCTGATCATGTGAAAGGTCAGAGCATGGTACATACTCAGCTAACAGACTGAGCTCAATCAGTAGGCAATGGCAAATGTCTCCCCCTCCAAGCTTTCACTTCTTTCTTTTTCATATTCTGTCTTGCAGTTTCTACTCCTGCTGTGTCTGTATTATGAGGAACTTTGGAGTGAGAGTTTCTCATAGCACTTTCGCTTTTTTATTTCCAGAGCTATCTCTAATGCATTCTCAATGGAAAAGATATCTGTGGAAATTTACTATCTTTTTGTCTTTTTATAATCAGTTTCCAGAGGAGACAGAAATGGACCTTTTGTCTGTAACTATTGATGGTCCCTCCCATTACTCATCTACTAGTGAAGGCTCATGCTCGGTATTTGGTTCACCCAAAACTCCAGTAGTCTTCTCACCCGGCATTCCCTTCCAGCCAGAAGAAGGACGTCGGGATGACAGCTTATCATCAAGCAGTGAGGACTCTGAGAAGGAGGATGACCATGAAAGAGCAGGGACGTATATTTATAGGAAACCACCGTAAGTAATGGTCTAAGGAAGAACACAGAAATTAAGAAAGTAAACTTGAAATATTGACTTTAAAGCTACAAAATCTGCTACCGATGAAGGACTGAATTTTGCCCGAAGTGTGTATGTGGAAGGCAGGGGAGGCTGTGTTTGGCAGAGGTTACTCTGAGGGAAGGTCTTCTTATCTGAAAAGGTGGCTGTTCATTATGCGGAGACAACTGTTAGGAATTTCAGAGCTTGGAACAGAAGAAAAGAACTTGGAAAGTGAGTTTTTTGAGGCATGGTGCAGGTTTTAGTGGGACCAAATGACAGATTTGTAAAATACAGGGTAACTTTCAGTTTTATTGAGTGATTATAGTGCATGTAAAAATGTAAATATTTACAAATAAGAAACTTATGTTATCTATCTTTTCATTCCTTTTCTTGTTTGAGAATTTAAGAAAGGCTTAGTTCTTGTAGTACCCTGTACTAAGAAAGGATACTTATTAAAGTGTTAATGGAAGATGTAGCACTGTATTGCTGTGTAGCAGATATGGCCTTCTCCAGAAGAGTTCTTAAAATGCTATATACTGACACAGTCTAAGAATGCCTCTTACCATCTGTTCAGGTAAATGTCATGCTAATATGTAATCCACAATTATGCCTGTGCAGGAGTACATCTCGCAAGAAAGCAACAGGCTTCGCTGCTGTCCACCAGCTGTTCACTGAGCGCTGGCCAACAACACCTACCAACAGAAGTATGACCGGCACAACCACGGAGAGAAATATTGACTTTGAACTTGACATCAGGGTTGAAATTGATTGTGGGAAATGTGTACTGCACCCCACAATGCTTCAGCAAGAACATGATGACATTAGTTTACGACGGTAAGAAGCATTTTACTTGGTTGCCTTATGAAGAACAGGGTACAAGTACTTTATGCTGCTTTAGCCATTAAGTCCATCTGATATTTCCATCACTTAAGTTAGGACCATATACACAACAATTAATTATTCTTAAGCACTGACCTGTTTGAAAAGCATAAATATATACATTAATTTGTTCTCATAACTTTATTCCTAGTAATTATCACTATTTATTAGCATCACCACAAGTTGCAATGATTATGATGGAGTATGGCATGGGGAGCTGTGTTTGTTTAGCAAGAATCAGTATATGCCTCTCTTCTGTTTTTATTTTTTTAAATAATATTTTATCTTTCACAAATATATAAAATGTTAGGCTTTCCAAGCACTTGAATTATTTTTTTTTTTGGCCCCCAAAGAAGTAACTTTACAACTTAGTGAATCCATATAATGGTTTGACTAATAATGGGGCTACTATTGTGTTTTCTCACGATCTCTGAGGGCTCCAATTATTTTCTGTGTGTAAAAGCATGCTGACACTAAGTTTCTTAATAAAATGCTTTTAAAAATTATTATTATCTGAGGTGACAGAAGTGCTTTACTTCTGATCTTAATAAGGTTTGATCTCATCCTCAGTTTTCTAATTCTCTCTTTTTTTTCATGTATATGTGATTTGGGATCTTATGGCAGCTTTACTTTTTAAAATTTTATATGTTGTTAATAATATGGTGAATTTTAGGAAATTTACTTGTCAACAAATTCTTAAGAAGCATAGCATAAGGTAGTGGTGTTTACTTGTTTTAACTCTAATTGTTAGAAAGAGAAACAAATGAGAAATACTTCTCCTTACTGAGAGGTATACATAGGAAATCTCAAATTAGAAAGCAAATTGGTTTCTGTCTTTCCAAGACATGTTTTTCTAAGAATTAATACTGAGGGAAAAAGAATCTCTTAAGAATGTATGTGAAGACAGCAGAGAAACAAAACTGATAAGTATTTTCTGCATATCAAGGAGTTTTCACAGACCATGTTGTGTAATGTAGGCGAACTTGACTGTAAGAGTACAGCACATTGGAAGGTTTTTCTCTAATGACATAACAATACTGTAGACTTTACTGCCTGAAATAATAACATAATCAAAAGTGCAAAAACAGAGTGGGCAGACAGAAAGGGAGTAGAAGTCACAGAAAGCACAGAATAAAGCAAAGATTGAAACACTTTCTTAAGTAGTTGATACCACAGATTTTTTTAGACATCCCTAGGTTTTTTAATACTGAAAAATATACTTATATGAGTATTAAGCTTGTTTTAATAACACACAGTGTATTTATTTTAGGAGTTATGATCGGAGTTCCAGAAGTTTGGATCAAGAGTCTCCTTCAAAAAAGAAGAAATTTCAAACTAATTATGCATCTACTACTCACTTACTTGCTGGCAAGAAAGTACCATCATCTCTACAGACAAAATCTAGTGATGTGGAAACAACAGTGTTTTATATTCCTGGGGTGGATGTAAAGGTACAAGGAGGGTATAACTCAGCAGGGAAACACTTGCTCTCTCTTTCTCTGCCCAAATATGATTTCAAAGCAAATACACTATTACAGTATGTACAAGTTCATATATACAAGGCACGTCAGTAAAATCTTTTATCAGTTGCATAGATACTGCTAAAATAGGAATAATGATTTCTGTAATGCCACACTGAAAACTGATAGATGCTTTTACCCTCATTTCTTTAGGGTTGGGAGGACTAGACCCAAAAGCTTGCATGTACCATCAAAAACAGAGCTATGTCAAATCACACTCCATAACAAATGCTATAGGTGATGCTACATAATGAAAAGAAATCAGTTCCATTAGCATTTTGGTGTCTAAAATTAGACATTTGTTTTGGAAATTTTCTTATTTGACAAGTCATTTAGGTTGTATGTATTCCTTAAATACAGGAGGATCTCTTCACTCCCTATAATTCATGGGAAGGGCAGCTCAGTTGTTGGCCCACTAACACATAAAGCTCTCTTATTATGTCTTCTGTGTTGTTTATAATAGCAGTCAAAGCCCTGGCATAAAACGTTTTTGTGTTTTGTTTTTTTTTAAAGACAATGTTCTCTCAAACACTGTCAAACTGTACAATCCCCTAGTTTTTTTTCTACACATTGTTTCTATATCTTAGTAAGAAAGGGTCTTAACAGAAATGTTCTTATATTTGTGATTTGAAATCCTAAGAGTAGGAAAAATAGGTCACTGCTGCATGGAAACTTCATGCAATTCAGTTGAGGCAATGCCATAAATCAAATGCTTTTCACTTGAAACAGCCTGGCTTTTCTAGTCTTGTGATGTGGAAGGGCTATATGTGTCCATCTTCAGTATTCCAGGCTGTCTTCAGGGCTAACAGTTATGCCTCAGGTCTCGTCCACTGCTTTTAGTCAAATTTAGGAACAACTAAACATTCTCTACACCTATTTTTATGTTCTATATTGTCATTGATAGTGTATTATGCACACGTAGGAGGTCTGGACACTTGGAATATTTTATTATTGTTATTTTTTATGCAGGTGTTTAGTAGTGGAATAGTTCCACCATGCAGTAAGACAGAAAGCAAGCTATAGAAACAAATAGTTGGTGGCACAGGATGTGTATGGTGTAACAGAGCGGAGGAGCAAGCTTTAGGCATTGGTCCTAAATAGTTCATTTCCTCTGTTTCTTTGTGTTTCCTCAATTATTTTTTATGGTTTATTAACATATCTATTTTCTGTACAAAGATTTCAGAGCTTTATGTCCACCATCTATATCTGTAGAACATGAATTGGAATGCAGCGTATCTTATAATGATATATTTGTAAACAACACAGGCAAAAAAAAAATGGAAGGGAAATTTAACTACTTGTATGAAGTAAATTTATTTTTCTTTGCTTTCCAGTTGCACTACAACTCTAAGACTTTAAAGACTGACTCGCCAAATACTTCTCGAGGATCCTCTTTGCCAAGAACCCTTTCCAAAGAGTCCAAGCTGTATGGTATGAAAGATACTGCCACATCTCCTTCCTTATCTAGCACTATCCACAGCAAGACTAACACCTTACTTCCTCCCCAACCCCCACCCATCCCATCAGGTACTTCTAGACAATAACCTTCTGAAACTATTATGGATATATATCTTTCCTTCACATAATCTACTAGCTTTAGATCTGTCTGCACAATACCTGAAGCATGGTATTTATCAACTCTTAACCTTGGCTGCAGAAACCTGATCCCAGAAGCATAAGTGCAGTTCATAAAGCTATAATTTCAGAAATCTCTTGCCAAACGAGTCTCAGTTTTATTTCCATCACAGTCACCATATGCCAGTGGTGGGCTGTTACTGCCTTCCTCCCTCTTTTCATTCAACAAAGTAATGCTTATTACTGGAAAGTGAAGTTTAAGTATCTGTATAAAAAGTGAATGCTGATTGCTTTATTCTTCATAATCCAAGGAAAAAAAAGTCAGATTAATTTGAATCATAGAATCATCTGGTTGGAAAAGACCTTTAAGATCATCAAGTCCAGCCATAACCTGTCCACTGCTAAACCATGTCTCTAAGCACCTCATCTACCTGTCTTTTAAATACATCCAGGGATGGTGACTTGCCCAGCCTCCTCTTCTCCAGGCTAAACAACCCCAGTTCCCTCAGCCGCTTCTCATAATTCTTGTGGTCCAAACCCCTCACCAGCTTCATTCCCCTTCTCTGGACACGCTCGAGTCCCTCAGTGTCCTTCAGCTTTCTAGTGCCTTTTGTTGCACAAAAAATGCATATAGCATTGCTTTCTGGAACTGGGTTATTTCTTGTAGTGCTGAGCAGCTGTTTAGATGTATTTTTATTAAACAAAATACCAGATTAGTGTCCTCAACTGTTGCAGGCCCTTATGTGATTTGGAATAATGTGAGTTACATTTAATTTTCAATTAATTAAAAGTTTTGTTCTATCTCCAATGATTCCTGTTTTCAAGCAGGAATCCGTTGTTACATCATGACAGATCTAGAGGTATGTAGATTGCACCTGCAACTTCTGAAACATTCACTCTTCTCCTTCAGGATTTGAGTATCACTTTAAAAATAAAGCCAAAATTTTGTTAAACTTTGATGAGCAGGGAAAATTAATCACTGAAAAACTTCTATGCTTTTTGTTGTGTGGGGTTGGTTTTTTTTTGTTCATTTGGTTGGGTTTTTTTAATAAAACTAGCTGAGATGCTGGGAGAGAACAGTGAAATGGGCACACCTTCCTCAGTTTTCCATGCTGTTGAACCATTAGCCTTTACTCTTCTAAACGTCTGTCCTCTTTGATTACTGAATGTAATGTAATCTGAATTTACACTACTTTTCTTCAATTTTGTTCTGTATTTACCTATCCTCTTTCCAGTCTTTGCCTTTTAAGTTTTACCATGTCATTTCCAGTTGCTGAGACTTGTTTTTATATCTGTAAGCTCTACGTTAGGTGAGGCTTACTAAATTGCACTTGTGTGATGATATAAATGTCTCCCAAAAGTAGGGACTGCATTTACTTTTTCTCTATACATTGTATTTTTATAAATATTTATTAGTTCTGAATAGTTTTGAAACACATTCATTGTTATTTATATTCTTTTTTTTTAATACTACTTTTCCTCTGGAATCAAAGCCACCTTGACTGTCTGTGGTCTCCAGTAAGAGCAAGATAGGACAGTCTGGTCAGAGGCACTAGACAGGATAGTTTGCACAGCATGAAAATTAAATGCTTGGGTTTTTTAGCAAATAAAAGGATTTTTAAGCTCTATTTTAGTCATTTAGTTAATGGGATTTGTTTTTTTGAAGAATTTAAAATCAACATCTTCATTTATCTCAATTCATTCTCATGGCTGTATTTCACAGAGACAGTAATTAGGCTGGTACTAATACCTTCTGTTGATTTTTTTGTTTTGGTGAATGTGGATCCAAGTGCTAGTATCTTCCACAAATTTAGAAGACAACAGTCTTTTCATTAGTTTATACTCTGTCTAGCTTCAAGCTTTTAAAAATGCTGGTTTAGAATCTTCAGTTATTCTTTGCATAAATATAGTAAGACTTGCCATTTACAGTTTGAATCTTCTGATGTTTTTTCTCAGTTTAAACTGACATTATTTCCAGGCTTATGTATGTATTTCTCCTAATTCCACTTTAATTGCCAGTCAGCTGTGGTTACTTTGCATTGTGTATTTGAAGAAGGATTGTGTATGTCTGATTTCCGTGCTATTTTTTAAAAAGCAAAGCAGTGACAATGACGTAACGTGCTTGGTCAAGAACATGCACAACAGAATTACAGTCAAGTGTGACAGACTAATAGCCGTTTTTGCATAGTTTTCTTAGTATCATCTAATGTTTATCAGCTACTATTGAATGGTATGACATTAGAAAACTTGATCTTTTAAATGCTGCAGCCAAAGGGAAAGGAAGCGGAGGCGTGAAAACTGCTAAACTATATGCATGGGTTGCACTCCAGTCATTGCCAGAAGAAATGGTGATCAGTCCATGCTTACTGGACTTCCTAGAGAAAGCCCTTGAAACCATTCCAATTACACCCATTGAAAGGAATTACACAGGTAAGCTGCATCTTTGTATTCTAGTACTCTGTGCTTTTTTTGTCTTCTGGTGGCATTGAGCTGCTCTTCCCTTTAAATTCCACTTTCTAATGTGTTCTTGTACTTGTTGAAAGCTGTTAGTTCGCAGGATGAAGATATGGGACAATTTGATATACAAGACCCCTTAGAAGAGTCCACAACATCGTTGGTATCATCCTCAACATCAGCATATTCATCCTTCCCTGTAGATGTGGTGGTTTATGTAAGAGTTCAGGTGAGGTTTTAATGACATATTCAGTATAGTAAGTAACTTCAGCCACAGTCTTTGAGACAATCCATGCTTCTAAGTTTGCTTCTTAACAATTAAAAATGTTTTCAAGTGTTCTTACTGAGATATTAATGTCTAGTGTGATGATAAAATAGGACTTCTTTCAGCAGTAGTTCTGACATATTTTAGTCCCATGGAGACCAAAGAAATGAGCTGTTCTGAGAAGTCACAAAAGTTATGAGCATTTTTAATCATTACTTCTTCCTTGTCCCTTCTGAACTTTTTTGAAATTATCTTTCATAACTAGTATTTATATCCATTGTTTATAAGTACCATTACAAAACAAAAATAATAATTAAATATTTTCTTAGTTTATATGGAAAATGTAGGAATGTACAATTATAATCTATGAGGCATTATTTATATTGCTTAATATGTGATGTATCTGGGCTTTTTATACATCAGAGAAAAAAGTGCTACTGCAGAGTGATTCAGAGCACTTGGGCTTGATCTGAATGTTGCTATTATATTTGCTTAAACAACTTTTTTTTCTGGTATAAATTTGATTATGTTCCCAAACTGAACAACATATTTTAACATATTCTTTTTTTTATGCCTATGAAAATTAACCACAACAATTTGTAGCCTCTCTCAGCTTTTACTGCAAACTCGTCTGGCCAAGAATGTGTTGAGGGGAGCTGAGTCTTTCAGCATCAGCTTGACTCAAGTGATTCTGTGACGTTCTCACATGAGATAAGCAAAGTTATGAATTGATTTGGAGATGAGGAAGAAAGGGGGATGTACATGTCCTCTGCTGCATCCAGGGTTCCTATGTTTAAGTTTTCTAAAAACTAGTCCAAATAATAGCCCTGGTGTTGGAGGGATTCCCTGGAATTAATTTATCTATATGAACTTGTATACAGTTATGTTACTAATTCTAAAACCTGTCTGAAAAGGCTGTAATTTTCTAAGATTAAAAAAAAAATACATAGTACTTTGTAAGACAGATCTGGGATGTTTATCTTTGTTCACTGGATGCTTTATTTTCCTTCTGTGTTTCAGCCCTCTCAAATCAAGTTCAGTTGCTTGCCGGTATCAAGAGTTGAATGCATGCTGAAGTTGCCTTCCCTGGATCTTGTTTTCTCTTCAAACCGAGGAGAACTGGAAACATTAGGCACAACCTACCCATCAGAAAATGTGCTGGTTGGTGGCAATACTTCACAGAGTGGCTCAAAGAATTCAGTCAGTAAATCTGGAGCACCAGGTAATACTTATATGAATGTTTATACTGCACGCAGCTTGTAGCATAAAAAAAATACAGTGTTCCGTTATCTAAAATTAGAGCAGAACGTAAGCTTTTACACATCTCAAGGCTATACGTTTAAGTATTGGTGAGTATCAGTTTCCTGTAAAAGCTTGCACAGTTAGAATATGTTGAAGGTTTTCTTGCATTGGTTAAGCAAGTTCAGTTATCTGCTATAAAAGGCTAGCATCAATACATGGAATGTTTAAGCTACATTGCTGCTACAAGGGTATAATTTGACGTGCATTTGTTTAATATTGCTGTTAACAGTATTATTTCACATTTGAAAATGCTTTCATACTAAAACTAACCTTTGCAAAAAAATTTGTCTTCAGGTTCATCACCTGGACTAGGCAGCCCTCTTGGCAGAACACGGCACAGCAGCAGCCAGTCAGACTTGACCACTTCCAGTAGCAGCTCTTCAGGCCTGAGTTTTACTGCTTGCATGTCTGACTTTTCCCTTTACGTGTTCCATCCATACGGAGCTGGAAAACAAAAATCTGCTGTTACTGTTCTAACTCCCGGATCAGGAGCCTTAGGTACAGAACAAGTTTTCGTTTGCTCGAGTTTGGCATGGTTTTCTGAACTGAAAATTTGAAAAGGTCACAGAAGATTACACTTTTTCCCTTCTATTTCCAGGTAATGTGGATGAGGAACCAACTTCAGTCACTGGCCGAAAGGACTCTTTGAGCATTAACCTTGAGTTTGTGAAAGTCAGCCTGTCACGAATAAGGCGTTCAGGAGGTTCCTCTTTTTTTGAGAGTCAGTCTGCGAGCAAAGCTACAAGCAAGATAGATACAACATTGATAAACATATCTGGTAAATGCTTGTTTCATTTTAATCCCATCTATTCAGCTAATTAGACAACTGCTGTTCATTAGAGTTAAAATAGTGCTTTTGAAATCTTCAAACTCAAAATATGCCATTTCACTTTGGTATGGTCTTTGCAAATTTGTTGTATTGCTGATGATCAACAAGAGCACTGGTAATCGAAGAGCATATGTTTCTTAAAGCACTCAGTTGAAAGGATGGCAAACCACAAAAGAAGTGTACAGTGAGCTTTTGGACTGGGTTTCTGACATTTTCAGCTTGTTTGGTGGAATTCCACTGCATGTTCTCAATGTGTTATACTGCGCTAACACGCTTGCTAAAGTTAAAGAGCAATCACAGCATGCCCACAGTGTCTATATAGTATGGGTTCAATAAGTCTCTCTGTTACAGGAGTCAGCAACAGGGGAATGAGCTTCAGCTGGCCAACCAGTGCCCTAGTATGGATGCTCTTTTACATCACTGTCCCATCAGAACAGAAAGATGAATGAACTCTGATTCTCATTGCAAATTTATCTCTTAATATATTTTATAACAGAGATAAACTAGTATAATAATAGAACTTTATGTTAAATTTATTCCCAAAGTTGCTTAGGCTTTCAGTTGGATCTAGTTTGATATACACTAACTACTCATTTTCATAGTACTTTCCTCAGGTATTTCACAGCTGTCTTGTTGCCTGAATAGGACAAAATCTTTCACAGACACTCACTTTTTTTTTTCCCTTTTTATATGAAAACTAGAAGTAGTCTAGTTTTCAAGCAGTCTTCAAGAGAAAAGAAAATTGAAGCAGATTATGTAGCACAATTAAATGTGGTATTATAGTGATGATATACTGTGCCCATTAAAAATGACAGCTGAATCTCCTAGATCACAAGCTGCTTTCTTAGTGTTCTTCATGACTAGTTTGTGGTTCTGACACTTGCTGTGTGTTATGCTGTTTGCAATGCTGCATGTCTAACTCGGTGATGTAGTTTTGCAGTGTCTGTTCAGTTACTAGCTGTCAGATTTCACTACCTTGCCACCTGGTGCCTATGAAACTATAGTGGGAGCTGGACTCCTGAATACTCAAGGAGCTTTGAAGTAAAAGTGGGTTTAAAAGATTTATTTATTTATTTATTTATTTATTTATTTTTCTGCACATGGGATCCTGACTTAGTTGGCAAACAGCAGAATGGTTGTGATTCATCTGCTATTAAAGCCCTCAGATGAGGAGTCTGAGGCACATACAACACAAACAAGTGAGACCCAGGATCAGTTATATCCTTAGGTCCTATCTTTCCTTTATGAAATGTGTTTGTATCTAATGTTGGATGGGGAGAAATGACACCACCTCAGGAGAACTGCAGGGATAAATAGCTGTTTTTTCATGACAGCAGAGACTATGCTGCTGGGTAAAGAAATATCTGACTGTACTGAACATCTATTAACTAGCTGTTGTTAGCAAAACCTGTTGCTAATGAGGGTTTACAGTTGTGTGTATATGCTTTTTCTTTTTCAGCTGTCTGTGATATAGGATCCGCTTCTTTTAAATATGATATGAGGCGACTCAGTGAGATTCTGGCATTCCCAAGAGCTTGGTACAGGAGAAGCATTGCTAGACGGCTCTTCCTAGGTGATCAAACAATAAATCTGCCAGGTAAGATACTGTTGCTGATCATGAAAAGCCTTTTTGTACAAGGGTTTGTAGTAGGAATTCTAGAAAAATGTATTGCCTGTGTGTTATTACATATGTGACTAGATATAAATGTATTATACTTTACTCCATATGCAGTCACTATTTTAGTAGAAAATCCTAGAGAAAAGGAATGGAAACTTTGTAAAGCAGGTCACTGAATTATGTAAAGAGCTTATATTAATGAAGACAGTAGAAAACCTTTAGTTATGATAAATGAAATATATTTTGATACTCTCCATATACTTCTTAGTATATGGGAGGATACTGTGAAACAAAAATGAAATCGTTTTTCTGCCTTTCATGTGCTGCTGGTTTTTTTTTTTTTTCTTTCCAGTAGCATCGGGTCCTGGAACACCAGATTCAGTTGAAGGGGTAAGCCAGCATCTTTCTCCTGAATCATCACGGAAAGCATACTGTAGGACATGGGAGCAGCCCTGCCAGTCTGCTTCATTTACACACATGGCACAGTCGCCTAATGTTTTTAGTGAACATAATGCAAGCAGCAGTATGTCACCTGGGACAGCATCTCATAACTTAAAGTCTCCGGCTGTTACAAGATCCAGGAGCGTGTCTGACTCTTCAGTGCCTCAGAGAGGTTAGCATACAATGATTCCTTTATTTCTTTTCAAGTATTACCACCAGTTGTGTCTGAAATTGATGAATCAAGATGTAGTTTGTTAGAGTACTTTCTATAAACTTGCAGTTTCCTTTACTGGAGCAGGAGTTGTATACGTGGGGTTAAATGAGTTCTCCAGCTTAATTTGATTGCGTTGTCATCTTCTTGGCCCTCTGTTCTCATCCGAGCAATTACCATGCTTTTAGCAGAGCGTCAGTATCACAGCTCACAGGAGAGTGAGCTTTATTTCATCTACGACTTTGGGCTCATATGAAGAGGTCTAAATAAGTATATATTCTATGTAATTATTAAATAAAGTCACTTATAATTTCTTTTACTATCAATGTTACTGTACTTTATCTTATAGCAGTGTAGCACTGGCTGTGTGGAATATTTATGGCATTAGTTATAGATACAGTTATTTAGAAGTATGGTGCTATTTTACTCTAGGAAAAATATCTGTGAGAAGAGAAAGGATGGGTATTTTGCCTATTCAGAAAGCAAACAAGATGTTATATATGAACAGTTTTTAGGACACAGTTATAGAAGGATTTATGGCTGGTGGAGTAGCTTGTTCACAGGAAAAGCAATTTTGCACAGGCTTATGAGTATTACCAGGATTTTGTGAGAAGAGCAAGGAAGACACTAATACTTGACACTCTGACTTGGCACTTGTGCAAATAACTGCTACCTGAAAATTCAAATACTAATAATTCATTTTCCGAGTGCACTGATATTTTTAAACAGTTAAAGAATTGAAAATACGCTCTTGCATGCCTTATTGCAAATTAAAAATCTTTAAGAGAAAAGATATTGGTAAAAATAAATGTGTAAAATAGATGTGTAAAGTGAGTCAATTTCTATGACAGCTAAAGCAACATGTACTGCAAATGCTCTAGTTCTTACTTATCCTCACTCGTAGTTTTGTGAGACTCCTTAAATATGGTGTTAGTCTGTCCTTTTCTAATATATACAATGTCTAGATTCTGCCAGATTTTCCTAGCATGTGGAATAATTTAAATTTTGTCTACTTTTTTTTATTAGATGCTCTCTCAAAAACTTCAACTCCGTTTAATAAGTCAAATAAAGCTGGAAGCCAACAAGGAACACCATGGGAGACACTGGTTGTCTTTGCTATGAACCTAAAACAGTTAAATGTTCAAATGAATATGAGCAACGTAATGGGCAATACTACGTAAGTATAAAGCAAGGTCAAGCATGTTTTAACAGACGGTGTTGTTCTGGGGGCAAAAACCCAATTTCCCCACAGACTGTTAACAGCCTGTTGTCTTCTAGCTTTAAAATCCTAACTTTTTCAGTTTTGAACTGTGAACTATGAATACTGATGCTTAATACTGAGATCACATATGCCTAATCCACATTCTTTGTTGCTTTCCAGTAAATAATTTTCAGTTTCTGTTTTGACTGCCAGGAAAATTGTTGTCCATTTTCACCTCTGTTCCAGGTGGACTACCAGTGGTTTGAAAAGCCAAGGTCGTCTATCTGTGGGCAGCAGCAGAGATCGGGAAATTAGCATGTCTGTTGGCCTGGGAAGATCGCAGCTGGACTCCAGAGGGGGAGTTGTTGGAGGTACCATAGATGTGAATACCCTGGAGATGGTGGGTAAGTCAAAAAGCTGTCTGGGATTAGTATATGCTACAGACAATAAATGTGAAAAACTACAAAATATACACAGTAACCCATTTCATGAACCTGCTAATATAGAAAAACTTTGGATTCTTACTTGTGCATACCGACTATAAAACATACTTTGAATTGAAGGGACAGCCTTCTCATCAGGGCCAGAACCAGTCTCAGGGTTGCTCAAAAATTGCACTTGCTAGCTCTGCAACAGTCCCGCTCCCTTCAGCTGTCTGGACAGATGGCAAATGGAAAGATTTGATAGCATTTCAGTTCTGCCTAGAATTTTGCAAGTGCTTATGGTCTGGGAAATATAAAACCTGGCTTTGGAAAAGAGGCTGGGTGTTCTGGCTCTACACCAGAGTCATGACCTCCCCATGCATCTGGAAGAAACCAGTGCTTTCTCCGTCTGTCTGTATCATGTGTATGGCATAAGGGTGAACATCTCTGGAAAAGCTTGTTTTCCTATCTTTAACAATATATTTCTGTGTTGCTTCAATTATATTTCAGCCCATATTTCTGAACATCCAAACCAACAGCCCAGTCACAAAATTCAAATTACCATGGGTTCTACTGAAGCACGTGTTGACTATATGGGGTCCAGTATCCTAATGGGAATCTTCAGTAATGCAGATCTGAAACTACAGGATGAATGGAAAATTAATCTGTATAATGCTTTGGACTCGAGCATGTCTGATAAAAGGTAATACTGCTTCCTGTGTTTAAAGTTTATATTGTTTGATAAGGTCAAATTCTGCCTATATGGCTTCTGTCCAGTATTGTTAATCAAAAATATAAGCATCTGCTAGAAAGCAAAGGGTTCATTTTTATTGTCAGTAGGAAATAGATTAATTGCTAATGATCCTGCTGTTTCTAATATCTAGTGAGATATTTGTCCATGGGGACTTGAAATGGGATATCTTCCAAGTGATGATTTCAAGATCGACTACACCAGACCTAATAAAAATAGGAATGAAACTCCAGGAGTTCTTTACTCAGCAGTTTGATACAAGCAAGCGAGCTTTGTCTACCTGGGGACCTGTTCCTTATCTCCCTCCTAAGACAATGGCCAACAACTTGGAGAGGAGCTCACATGAGCAATGTAAGTGGTACAAAAATAGCATATTTCCCAAGTAGGATATTTTAACTGCAAAAATTAATCCGAGCAACTTTATACATGCAAGTATATCTGTTAGACTTGAAATAGTTGCTTCACTACATTTTTCCTGTAAATCTGGTCTAGGAATAACTTTTCAGTGAAGAATGCAAGTATCTTGAGTACCCTGCTATATCTGGGGTACAACAATAAACTACCTTATGTTATTTTCAGGTTTTATTTAAACACGCGTATTTTTGTTTAAAAAATAAATAAATCTTTTTTGTAGTTTTCAAACTATTTCAATAGAATTGAAATAGTTTGCAAAGTCTGTTTTGAAGTCCGTTTCATAAAAAACATTTCTACTTTGAGTAGCAATGAAAGTGAGATGCTGTTCTTACTTTCTATTAATCATGAGCTGAAACCATGATTGCCTCAACACGAGTCAGTGATTTCCAAGTATGCTTTTTCAGGTACTCATAAGCTACAACCACCTTAGATCACAAAGATGAAACAGTGTCGGTGATATAGATTAGAAAATATAGCTCATAGTTCCGTGTTTTATTAAAAACATGAATATGGCAGCAATCTTTTCTGTATTTTTCTCTTTCCTAAAGTTTGTTCTTGCTATTGCGTGTTTACTTTCTAGTGTTGGATGCGGCCCATCATCGCCATTGGCCAGGAGTTTTGAAAGTGGTATCTGGGTGCCATATATCCTTATTTCAAATGCCATTGCCAGAAGATGGAATGCAATTTGGAGGATCCATGAGCCTGCACGGAAACCATATGACGCTGGCTTGCTTTCATGGACCTAATTTCCGCTCAAAATCTTGGGCCTTATTCCACCTTGAAGAACCCAATATTGCATTTTGGACAGAAGCCCAGAAAGTTTGGGAAGATGGTAAGTTAAACCATTTCCTCATTTCTCTAAATTCCTTCAAATTAATTTAAAGAATGTGTTGATACATAAGAAATCAAAGAAAAACTAACTAACTTTGAAGTCTGAATCAGTGTACCACTTACCTAAAATAATAATCTGTTCTCTTTCCATCTTTGCCACCATTTGCTTTATCTGTGCAATAATGCAAAGTACATTTTCAAATATACTAGGTATGTCCTTTATAATATTAAGGAGGAAGTTCTTTACTGAGAGGGTCGTCAGAAGCTGGAACAGGCTGCCCAGGGAGGTGGTGGAGTCACCATCCCTGGATGTATTTAAAGAGCGGGTAGATGAGGTACTTAAGGATATGGTTTAGGGGGTAGACAGGAACGGTTGGACATGATGATCTCAGAGGTCTTTTCCAACCGAGCGATTCTGTGATTCTGTGAATATGTCTACAAAGTGGATTGTCTGCTTGTTAATTGCATGTCTGTGTTTATGCAGTCCTTTGTTTCTACGTGATGAATTCTGATGGCCTTATTGCTTATATTTGTCTTCATATTGAGAAGTTTTTATTGTCTGTAGCTAATGAAGATTCAATTCTTCTGTTGTTTGCAAGCTTTATACCAGTTTTTAATGCCACTGGCTTGATTATTCATGTTAATTACCTGTGTGAGGAGAAGAGAGCAAGAGAATAAATCCTAGTACCTATACCAAGCTACTTTTTCAATTTTTCTTTTCTCTCTCACTCCACACTGTCTGCACCTTCCATTGCAGGTACTAGTGAACACTCCACATATATTGTGCAAACCCTGGACTTTCATTTGGGCCATAACACCATGGTCACCAAACCGTGTGGAGCCCTCGAAAGCCCTATGGCAACAATCACAAAGATAACAAGGCGCCGCCATGAAAACCCCCCACATGGAGTTGCCAGTGTGAAAGAGTGGTTCAATTACGTTACAGCCACAAGGAATGAAGGTTAGATTCATGTTAATTAAATTTTGGGATTGGTCTGCTTGCCAGATGGTGCAAATTGTGCTGTTCAAAAGCTGCTAAATGTCAAATGGGCTATCCAGAGAAGGAAATTTGAAATAACGGCAGTTGATTCTTCTTGAGAACCTTACGGTGAACTGTGGAACAAAGCATAGCAACATGCTGAACAGCTGCAAGTGTTACTGAGCTAAGTTCTTTTCCAAATTGTGCAGTGAAGCCAAAATGTTTTGTTAGTCTATAGGACATGTATATATCTGCCACTGCAGTAGTTCCAGTCTTTTCTTCTTTCACTGTATGCAAAAAAAATTTCATGTTTCATATAATTGTCCAGTTGTGATGTTGTAACATGATGATATATTTAGTATTTTCACTGTATATGAAGGATTTATGGATTCAGTTAAAGAAGGAATCTATTTTAGGCTTCTGTCACCACTTACAACAAACACTTGAAAATTACTCATCTGGTCTTCAACCCTCAGCTGCTTCTAGACATTAAAAAATGCAGAATCGTATCTTTAAATCACTGTTGACTGGGAAATAAAACTTCAAAGATAGTGTTAAAAGAAATCTTAAAATACAGCTGTCACTATTTCATTCATAAACTGTAGAATCCTTAGATGATATAAATAGAATTTCTGTGAAAGGGTGGACAGCAGAATATGGCATATAGTCAGAAACGAGCAGATGATAGTTTATTGAAAAACTGTTTTCAAATTATTTATATACTACAGTAATATTTATTCCTTTTGAAAGACACAACAGGACGTAGTGGTTGAAGTTCACCAATAGACGTGCTGTCTGTTAGATGTTTTTTATGTAGCCATGTTTTGATACATCCAGACCATTTAAGTATATAAACAACATTTGACCTTTTGTGGCCATATTGTTGGGAGCAGGATAAAGGATGTTGTCGTCTTAATAATCATACACTAGCAGTTTTACAATGGTTTTACAAAGGTTACAAAGTAAACTTTTTAAACTTTTTGTCTTTTCACAATTTTAACAAAGGAAAACTAATTCAAATGGTATGGCCTGTGTGCTATGGTAGAAGTCTTGTGACAAAGTTGGATTCCTGGTCAGTGATTTCTGACAGCAATGTTGCCTGGATGAATGTAGCTATGACTTGTATCCATCAGAAACAATTATTTTCATTTTAAGTTCTACTATATTTTAAAATACGAAGGGCGTACTTTGAACCCATGCAGTCTATATCTCACTTAACCGAAAGTTCATTATTAAAACAGAGTTGTGATAGGATAGTCAGATGAATAAAATTTGGACTGAAAGCTTCCAAAAAACTGAGAGATTCTTAGAAGTGCTTAGATGTTATGGTACCAACACCTGTTTCCTCCCTCCTTCTTATAATGAGATGTATTTCAGTGTATGAAATTGCTACTATTAAATTTTGTGAAAATTTGTCACCCTCTGTGCTGGCCGAATCATTTCTTCATAATGGTTACTGAATTCAGAAATTTCCCATTGTCCTTGTAGAGTTAAACCTGCTTCGAAACGTTGATGCTAATAACCCAGAGAGCAACACAACAGTGAAAAGCTCAAGTTTACTCAGTGGCTTCAGAGGAGGCTCCAGTTACAACCATGAAACTGAAACCATCTTTGCATTGCCAAGGATGCAGCTGGATTTTAAATCTATTCATGTTCAGGAGCCCCAAGAGCCTTCACTACAAGGTGCTGTAAACATCACTTGTTTTTTCTTGATCCAAAGCTACTTCTCATAAATGAGGAGTTAAGTACAAAGACACCAGACTGCTAAGAAAAATTACTGCAGATCTGCAAGGAAGGATATAATTTCATAATAAAATGTAGAGGGAATTCTGATGAGTGAAGATCTAGTCTGGTCACCATAGGGAAAACTTACTAAGAGAAATGAACATTGCAGCTAGGTTGGCTGTATTTGGGAGGATAGTTTTCTTAATTTTAATTAAAAGGGAAGGGCCATTGTGAAAAAAGGAACATTATATAGGAACCTAAATTTTATGTTCTTGTTCTCAAAATGTTACCTTCAAACTGCAGTGTGAACTGGTGGGAGAAATGAGACATCTGAAGGTATAAGACAATGTAGATGTTTATTTTGGCTGAGCTGTGGTTTTACTCCATACCTGATCCTGGGTAGTACTGCTAGATAAGTCAAGCTTGGGGTTTTTTAATAGCCAAACTAGCAAAATCTGCTATCGGCTTTTCTTACTGTCTAAAATCATGCATTAATAGCATAGCGCAAGGTAGTGATACAGCTCTAGGTTGACTTTCCATGTTGAGGATGATAAAGTGCTACATGATAGTACTTCTTTATTTTCAGCATCTTATAAAAATATCAGAAGTTACTCTGATGGAAAAACTGTTAAAAATGCTGAGTCTGCTAAACACAAGTGTTATTTGTGGTCCTTCCTCTCCTTTGAGTCTCTGGTTCAGTAACAGAAATGTAATTTTCAAATAATTTGGATTCAAATTCTGGGTACTTTTATGTATTACAATACGTACTTAGAAATGTACTAATACTATTTTTATCTGACTGTAGATACAAGTGTTAAACCAAAGGTGGAATGCAGTGTAGTAACTGAATTTACAGACCACATTTGTGTAACCATGGATGCTGAACTGATTATGTTCCTGCATGACTTGGTGTCTGCTTATCTAAAAGAAAAAGAAAAAGGTAAGATATTTATGAGGTAACACTGGTCTGCTAATCTGCAGTTGTCAGACTATTTCATAGTAAATATTTGCGTACTTTTCAATAGAGTTGATTTGTTAAAAATGGATTTAATTTTTTTAAAGTTAGGTTTAACTTTGCTTCCATTGAAATGACCAGAAGTAGTATTAAATGTTCTTGAAATCTGGACTTAATGCTATGAAATTATAGGGGAAGGTAGCTATTTTTGGTGAAACTTTGTAAAAAAGATATGTTTTCAGGCTATCTTAAATCGAAATTCAATCCAAATTTACAGATTTGGTTTTAATTTTATAAAATGTGTTGTTTGGAGGAGAAACAGCTGTTGTGCCTTTTCTGTATCCCAAGACTTAAGTAAGAGTTGGCTTCAGGTCCCCTTGATGCCTTTGGGCAAAGATTGAACTTCACTATTGCCCCGCCATCCTCCTCCTCTGAAACTACTCTCTCCATCTAAAAAAAAATATTCTAAACTAGGAGCCTGTCTGAGTTTTTTCTTATGGAACAAGATGGGCTTTGTTGAATGCCATGATGAATTTGAAAGAAAGCCTTTTTTGAAAGAGAAGGAAGAATTCCACATTCCAGTGTTACCCAGTGTCTCTTAACAGTTTTCCTAGGATATTTTTATGAGCACTTTTTTCAAACCAGAACTGTTTGTCAGAAATTCTGTAACACTGAAACACAAGGTTTTGTGATCTCTGTTTTGAGATCTGTGCTTGTGTGTCTTTAAAAGATGTATAAAGAGAATTCAAGTGAGATGCTCATGACTGACTGGTGTCGGGTTTTTTTCTCTCCATTTTGTAGCAATTTTTCCTCCTCGCATTTTGGCTGCTCGTCCAGGGCAGAAAAACTCCGTTGGTGTTCTTGAGGACAGCTCCACTGACAAAGAGGCAGAGGAAAGCATTACTTACACTACAGTCGACTGGCGAGAGTTTATGTGCAATACTTGGCACTTGGAGCCCACCCTCAGGTAAGAAGCAGGCTTGTCTGCAATCTCTTTGTGTCTGTGTTTTATCTGTGGGTGCTGTCCTTCAAACCACAAGTCTTCCCAAGGTGGTGATGTTCAGCTACCAAGTGGATCAATCACCTGGATGCTGTTACAGATTTGTCCTTGGCTGTTATGAAAGATACCTGCCACAGGACATGACAAAAGCTGGATAACACAATTACCTATCACATCAGTTAACTTCTAGTTAGAACTTATGCAGATTGAAGGTATTGTTGAAGGCTCTTCAAAATCAGGTTACAGTAAAATTAAACGCATTGAGGACCAGAGATTACTGTTTCATTCTGTTCTACAAGTCTGTTCACTTTCTGCAATGCAGTTTCTCATTTTTAGCATTCCAGTTTTAGTTCTGTTAAGTAGTCACCTTAAAATAAAAAGCACTACATACTAGTATGGCAGGTTAAACTTAGCACAAAAGAATAGGAAGTGTAGTAGCAACTCGCTGCTCTTAATATTCACTTTTTATCACTGAAAATTAGTTTTCTCTGTGTCAGGGTTGGTTTATTTTTTAATGTCTGCTGGAGCCCCTGTGTGTTCATTCACATATGAAAAACAACAAATCAACCCAGGCCAAACAAATCGAGGGTTGGCATTTTTGTTAACAGTAGTAATAAATCAATTTAAATGTGATCTGGAGGCAAGCCAATCTAGCTTTTGTCTCCTTGAGCATCCTCTTCCTTTGGGAAGATGTTACTTTGGTCTTGTTCAGCTTATCTGTATAAATTTAGTTTGAAACAGTACCTGTTGCACTTAAGATGTTCAGAAGTGTAGCAATGGTAAAAATGAATGTTTACTTATACAAATGCCAGTTCCTCTACATACATATTTGAGGTTGAGTCCCCTTTGTGTTGCTTTTTAGATTAATATCCTGGACTGGGAGAAAAATTGATCCTGTTGGTGTTGACTACATCCTTCAAAAGCTGGGCTTTCACCATGCAAGGACTACTATTCCCAAGTGGCTACAGCGCGGTGTCATGGATCCTTTGGACAAAGTTTTGTCGGTCCTTATAAAGAAACTTGGTACTGCACTACAGGATGAAAAGGAAAAGAAAGGAAAAGACAAAGAAGAATACTGAGAATATAATGTGACAACTGCAATTCCATTTGATTTTATCAAAGTGTTTTATTGTATTTCAAGAATTTAAATATGGTTTAAAGAGAAACCTAACAGCTTTTTGCTACTCTATTTAAAACTTACATTGTGAGTAACTGTTTACTGTGGTACATGATACCATTCTGTATTTGAAGTTATTGCATGATGATGACCAATGTACATTCTGTGAAGGAAGAGCTGGAACACTGTAAATCTGCTCCTCGGCATCCACTGTTTTATGATGTGCAATATGATTCCTGCATCTTTTAAATACTTGCAGATTAACTGTGAATTTTCATAAACTTTATTTGCCATAACACAAACCCCTCGTTGATGTGACTGGTAATTGATTTGTCAATGTAGACTTGTGTAAATTAT